TTATCTTGTCATCTATTTAAATCGATGTTAGTCTTATCATTTAACGGACTTTACGATGCGCACTTGCTTGTACGTAACGTCGGATCGCGGAACCTGAGAGCTTTATTTTGCGCGATTTGCTTTTTCTTTGGCTTCCAGTGATTGCCATAAGGACGCCTAGACGTAACAATTTGATAATTGATAGAGCCTTGGTGATTGCTGATTGCGAGGTAGTTAACACACATTTCTCGCGAAAATTGCGTTAATTGCGGTAATATCTTGCGTAATTTGCGAGCGAAATAAGACAGTTAATTTATAATGTGTGGGAGATGTCTCGAGTAAAATTTATCATTATTTAATACATGCTAAGAATAATTCAACTTGACCTCATTACTTTTCAATGAAACAGTCATTAACAAATGACATCTGAACAAACGTCGCTAATGTTTTAAGCGCAACTGTGGTATCTTTTTTTACAATAAAAGAGTGATCCAAAAAATTATCCTTTTGGGACTGAACTGTATGTCAAATGATATCTTATAATGAGACATTAATCATAGAGAAGTTTCAAGTTGAGATGTTCATTGTTATCAGAGGGGAGGGGAATCAAAGTTCATTATCTAATTATCATAGGTCTGAGAAGCTGATATTTAAGAAGGTTAATTTAATCGATGAAGATCAATTCAACATCACTTATCCTGGTGATTTTATAAATCAATTCTCAATGGAAGAATTTATTAAGTCTTATCTCTCTTGATTTTGTTTTTTAGTCTTAGATACATTGCATGTATCAGGCTTGGATATAATGGGTGTACTCCATTATATTGACTATATTCAAAGAACATGACATTTGTTTTGAATCTGATTTTCGTGTAGGCGTAATACGTGACTCCCTCCCCCTTTTTCAGTTATGATAACAACTATTATCTCTATCAACATAAAACTTCTCTGTGATTAGGTAACGTCTCATGTAGGGTATTATTTGGCACACAATTCAGTCCAAAAATTGAGGGTGAAAAAAAATCATCTTTTTTGGGTTATATTTGGGGTATATTTCAGTCCATACTTTTGGTCGAATTTTAACGTGTATTCTCGCGACCGCTGCTGATTTTTAACAAGAATATAATCAATTCTTTTTTATCAGGTCACCGCATTTATACATGATGTAATACTTCAGATTGAGTTTCGGTGGACATTATTTCGTTGTGTCATGCAATCCGATACGGTGGGCGGAGAAATGTGAAGTATCCTTTTCTTGCGATATATTCTTTTATTTGTACCGACGGTAATGAAGGAGATAACACCATTATGGCGCGTCGGCGGCGATACATTCCTCTACTTAAAGCGAATGCATTCAACGGATTATACGTTGCATTATTTGCAGTGTATTTTACTTGAAAAACATATAACGTAATTGATGTTTGAGAAAGTGTAGGCTTTTAATGACGGGAGTAATTATAAATAATGAAAAATACAGATAACACGCAGAGACAACGTTTTTAATTCAATATTTTATGGTACGAGGCTGTAATATTTTTTTATGAGAAAAGATTACTGTTCCAAACTTACTGAAAAAAGTCGAACGACAGAAGATTGAAATAAAAGAATTATGTAAATGCTCGAAAGTATATTTTCTTGCAAATGTATTATGGCCGATCTTGCTTGTTCACGTCCAGCCCAGAAGAAGATTAATGTTATTCACAGCAACATTTCGTGTTCTTGATACCCGAAACGATCCCGGTCACGCGCGATTTAACATGGTCTTCTTTCTTTCTCTATGAGCTGACTCACTATTTAACGGCCTTTTAAACTACCTACGATATACAGCATTGAGCTTTCTCGAGAAGACCCTCGATAAGACGAAGGAACACAAATAGGACTAATAATATTATTTCTATCAATGATGGAAATTATCTATATATCTCGTAGAGCAGAAGGTATCGGATGAAACCAATAAATTATCGTAAGATGACTTCAGAAAAAGATCGAATTTAAAGTCGAATTTAAAGGTGATATATCATAATTGCGGCCATTGTTTGATATAACCTGTATATTATACATATGATTTCATCTTTATGATTTTATCTTTTATCTAAATTTATTAAGTAATGAATTCCAATTTGAGAAAACCGTACCGATCAATAATGGATAATAACTTAAATAATTTTAAAAAGTAAAACAGAGATAATTATAGTTTGAGAAAAATCCTGTGATAATGTAATTATTAGATCCGCAACTTGATTCTCGGCCTTTTTCACTGAACTTTGATATTAATTTATAAAAAGTGAATAGTTACCTAATCTTCGAAGTAATCTCCCTCGCTTTCTACACATTTGCGTCATCTTTTGAAGAGCTCTTCTGTCGAATTCCACTTCGGAAAAAAGTCATTGTTGACTTTTCTTTGATTATCCTGGACATTTTTCATCATGAAAGTCGAAATTTCCGTTCTTAAATTGCTGGAACCACTTCTTACAGGTACTATAAGAAAAAACAACATGTTCCCTCAAAACAGATCGTTTCCTGTGGTTCACTTTTTTTCAATTGAAAAGCAAAAAGGACGCAATGCCTCAAATGTTACACTTTGAACAACTTTGCTTTTACGATTTTATTTTTAAGTTAGATTAGTACAATCGTCAACAATTAGTCATTTAAAAGCTATATTAATCTTAAAAATGGCGCTCCAATATGACTACGGAAAAGTGTATAAATTTAAATAGGTAATCACATCGATTGAAAGAGGCCGAGAATTAAGTTAATAATAACACGAGAATTTTGAGATCTGTGTCTGCATTTTCAATGCGATTAACCGCATGATTCTTAGAAACATCGCTTTCCAAACAAGGGAAAGAATTGGTAGTAATGTACGTGCGCTAGGGCTTGAGTTTCTGCGTGACGAGACTACAAGATCGCTACTGTACTGCGAATCAGGTTCATTGTGCTGTCAAGACAAAGATTCGCCACGGAAATCATTAGACGATTCGTTTGTCGTAATTACAACATTATTAGCTTTACAATCAGTAAAGAATTGTCTGCTGGAATAATAACGTTTTGTACTTTTTTTATTATTGCGCTCGTCGTTTTCGATCGAATCTTCTCGGAATATCATTACTTTCGAGGGTAGTATAGTCTCCATCGTATATTCTCCAAAATAGGCGGCTTCTCGAGAAGGTCCGATGAAAGACGGTTTCGGAACTGCTTAGAGCACTAGTTCTAAAGCACGTGAGCTGAGTCTAAATCAGGCTCTTTTGAACTCGATAAAAGTCCTGCTGTACATATATGCGGCTGCTCAGATGTTCCTTACGCTATGCTTAGATAAACGTGTTCCTGAAATATTCACATGAGGATAAAATCGTTGCATCATAATTTTTTTAATAAAAGAAGTAAGGAGCGAACGCAAAAATCGCTCATTTTTTGGGCCCAATTTTGGAACTGAACTGTGTGCCAAATTTTACTTATATTGAGACATTAATTAGAGAGAAATTTGAAGATGAGGTGACAATTATTATCAGAGCTGGGAATGTAAAAGAAAACGGATTTTCGCGTAGATGTGATCCTTCCTTTCCCCCTTCCAGCTATGATAACAATTGTCACCTCAACCTAAAACTTTTTTGTAATTAATATCTCATTGTGGAGTATCATTTGGCACACAGTTCAATCCAAAAATTGACACAGGGTCCAAAAAAAACGGACGAAAGGAACCATCTTTTTGTTGTCATTCTTTCAATAAGATTTTTTACATTATTTATATCAGAGATATAAATAACGTAATTATAAATACATATATCATTATTTATTTACTTGAAATATTAACATTTCAGCTTCAGTTTACGATTCAAATCCAACAAATCAAATTGACATCCAATTTATAAAAACCGAAAAATATATTTGTAAAAATTTACATATGAATATAATTAAGAACCCAGATGCGCTTTGACCAAAAATATATATTATTTTTTATTTAATTGATTTATTCTTATCAATCCAACTATTAATTTTAATAATAAAAAATATGCTTAAATCATATGTCTCAATTAATTCGGATCATATTGATTATATCGAGCACGCAAATTTTTTAGCCACAGATTATGTGTAAGGCTTTCAATATCTTTCTGTTGCACTCTCTTGTGGTTCGTTCTTATACATTTTGCTGTCACCGACGATGGTGCGGAGGGTCGCATGGCTGCTGCGATGGCGGAGCATCTGCGGATCTACGTTATCTTCCCGCTTGGCACGTAGCCAGTTCCGAATGTCGTCCCTTTTCGCTATTTCTCCCAACGGGCGTTATAGCCGCGTGTGGTTATTTTCACCAATCTCGTGATGGCGAACTGGACTCGTGAGACTAGTCGTGGCAATAACGGATTATTCTGAATCGTACGTGCCGGAGATTGCGCATCTCTCTCTCTCTCTCTCTCTCTCTCTCTCTCTCTCTCTCTTGACGATATTCTCTCTTCGGAAGACACTAACGCAATTCATTAGGGGAAAAAAAAGAAAGCGATTGCATCGCGGAAACTCTGAGACGTAAGTCATTTCTAGAGGCTGAGAGAGTTTCGGTTTTATTGGAACGGAGTCATTCACCTGTTCAACCGCGTCTGACAGCATCCGAATGTAGATAATACGCATAAATATGAATGATAATCTTATGATAATCAGTATTAAATAATTAGGTTGTATATATTTATCAGATCTTATCTTTCATAATCCTGAATCTAATCTTGTTGAACGTAGAGATAATATTTACATATGATATATTATATTATGATTCAAAACGATGTATAAATTAGATCATATGGTATACAATCACTATTTTATATAAATTATATTTTACTTTTTAGAATATACATTCCTTTTTCAATCAAACTTGACTTGTTTGTAGTGTAAGATAATAAATCCAATTTTTAAACTCCTTAAAATTCTTTTCATTATTACGAAATAAAATAAGAAAATAAAATTCTTTAAAAAAGAAATGAATAATAAATCTCAGAAAATAATGAGGGGTAATATTAATAATAATTACAGATAGTTTTTTTATGTACGCATTCGAATTTATTAGAATCCGAAGAAGAACTGTCGTTGCTTGGAACTGATTCAAACAAGTAGACAAACGGCAAGAACACTGAGAAAGCTGAACGAGTCAATTCGGCCAATGGCACTCCCCGTTTTGTTAAATGCGTTGCACCGTGTTGCACATTCCGTCGACGTCGTCGTCCACCCCACGTCTCCTCTTCGTGGTATTCGGACGCGTGCGTGCGTGCGTGCGTGCGTGCGTGTGTGCGTGCGTGCGTCGTGGCCCTCTCGGGGGGATAAGAGTGCGTGCCTCCCGACAATAATAACCATTAAGTCGTGAGAGAATGCGGGGGCTGACGTCATCCATTCAACAATCGCGTACCCATCGAACGCTGTCAAACGCAGCCATCGTGAGTTTACTCTACGTTAACGCGATGGTTTTCCTCCTCCTCGACAAGTATAACTTGATCGTCGCCGTCCTTGGAAGAATCAGCGAAGATGACATCGATACTTTCTACCGGGAAAATAACAGACACATTTCAATATTTTATATCACCTTTGTAAAAGCTTTCGAAGAAAGACCGCAAACATGATTAATGGTATGAGATAGACTAGTAGCTAAGATACACGTTTTTATTCTGTATCTCATCGTTCATCCTATCGAGTTTAATTGTTGTAAATTGTCGTTGGATTTCAGAAAGGAAACTTACTACTCTTTAAGAAGTTCGGAACATAGCCTTCGACATGCTCGCGGAATGTTGGCACAGACTTGCCAAGTCTACTTCCGGGGTGAAGCAAAGCAGCAGCTCTTTTAAGAACAATGCCTCTCTTGTGGAATCTGAACTTGTGTCAAGAATTTCGTATCTTCCACCCTCTACGCTCGGGGCCGCTTTCCCACGGAAGGGAAGTGAGACTTGCCGGAACAAACAAAGACATAGATAGCCAACGCGAGGGGAAAAGACGCGATCGATAAAAGGAACTCTAAGATCGTTAAGACGTTTCCTTTCGCACCCCATGTGCTACTAGACTATCTTTCTCGATAACCGACGAATGATTACGAAATATATGTGTTGAGATTTTTCTGATTGTTCGCGGACCGACAAAAAATCTTCCTAAAATGTATTTATGTTTACAGAAATATTAAAGTAAGGAAAAATAGGTCTTTATCGATTCCAATTAATTTTTCATCTGTTAGTTTATATTTAAGTATTCCTTTTTTTCTTTATACAAATGTATCTTTATTTAGTATCAAACTGGAAGTCGTGAGAGATTAATTTCGTTGCATCTTGTAACTTTAGGATTCTTGTTTGCGTCTTTTACGTGGAATCCGAATGGCTCCAGCTGTCCAGGAATCTTGTAAACGGAAGTCAACTTCGAGCTACGATCCAACGAACTCGCTCGATTCTCCTCCTCCTCGTCGACGAAGAGAAGCTATTTCTGACACTCACACCCCGCGAAACCACGGATTGTTCGTACGAGTATCACTGTAATGCTAACCGCGGATGCATCCTGACATTTTCGCGACGCGAGGAATGTTTTCCGCGCTTCTCGATGTCAATAATTTACGGCTACACCTTCGATTTGTTGAGGTAAAACCCGACAGATTGTTTGCGCCCAGTCCCGTCTCGTCTTCATTGTTACTGGAATGCATCACGTAAGGACACCACAGGATGACGTGTCCTGCAAGGTTTATCCCGTCCTTTTTTTGAGTATGCTGTCATTATATGACATCAGCGATGAAAAAGCGTGCCCGCGATGCAAAATAGATTTGCGGTTTTTACAGATCCATTATATCCTTTTCGCGGATCACGTCGGCATTACTCAAATCATAAATGGAAATGCGGATGAGACCAGCTTCGGTAAACGCAAAGGCTTTTCTGTTTCGCAATTCCATGAGTCATTGCATTTCTACGTTGATTTACGAATAAAATATCTTGACTCTCTAATTCTGACATACGAATGTATGCCAGAACTGCTGATCACACTTTTCATTCTGCAAACTTTGAAAATTCAGAGATTTATGCATGTTATGCAACATATAATAGACACTTAAGGATTAACGAGAACATGAGAATTTTATTAAAGATGGCTATAGAGAATATTTTACATGTTGGCTACATGTTTGATTCTGGATTTTATATTTTCTCATTTTGATTATGTAATAATTTAACAATTTTTATATAAATTATTGCGAAGACTTTGTAAAGTCGAAACTAGTTTCGCTTGATTTATTGTAAAATTTTAACATCCAAATTATTATAAGGATTTATTATACAATATTTCAACATCTTATTATTCACTCATCTTTGGCCATTATTTGTATATAATTTTAATTGTGTTTTTAGAGATGTATTTTTGATAAAATTATCACAGAATATTTCTCTTTTTAATTAAAAACGCTCTTTAATATTACATCTTATTTTTTATATTAATCTCTGTTGTTACTTTAATTTCAAAGAGAGAAAATAAGGACAAAGATAGTTTCGTAAGGTTCATGATTTTGATGCAACTTTGTGATTTCCTATAAAGGCATATGTCAAAGTAATATAAATTTACTCTATCATAGGAAATAAGATATGGAAAATAAATTAGAGGGCTATAAGTTAAAAACGCAAATCTTAAGGGAACCATCAATGGCAAACCACACCTTAATGTATTTCGTATACCTGATCAATTTATTAAATCATTGTGCCGTTCCTTCGATCAATATTCTCAATCTCACCTTTCCATTAAGGTCAACTACGTTCTAAATATTCTACTTCGAGTTTAACAAACATTTCAAAATCACAATTAACTGCTAAAGTAAACGTATAACAATTTCAGTAAAATAAAAGCCCGATTTTCAGTAATAAAAATTTATATTTGTTTCAATTTGTGTTATAATTAATATATTTTTCGTATGTTTATATTAGATAAAATATGTGATTTTTTTATATTTTATTAAAGTGAAAGGAATCTATGATATACATGCAGATAGATAAATATACAGCGCAATGAATTGAATGAATAGAGAATGAATTTACAAATAATCATTGCGAGAATTTTTTTTTTAAATAAAGTAGGTAGACACATCGCGAGTGACATACATGTTCGTTGATGCGCACCGCAAAGTGAATATAAACTATGAACGCTATGTTCCACAACATTAGGCCGACTGAAAGAGTGCGTGGATGCCTATGGAGCTACGCATAGATTGAGCAATGGGACATCGTGGCGCCTGTTCACGTGTATAGACATAGTCTTTGCTAAGGGAATCCAGGGTGGATTTATGGGGATGGGAGTTACAATCTAACTGGAGCACAGGGGTGCTGACGTGTAGTAGTCAGTCATTAATCTAGATTCATGGACTTCTTCCCGCGTAATCGCATCTTTCATTTCATCTTTCTAAAATATGCAACTATTTTTCAATATCAAAATACAAAGAGAAATAAGTATGTGCAATGTAAATGTAGATAATTCGAGATTTTTGCACAAAAATGCTCGAGCACATTTATCATTAATACAATTAAATACACTTTCCCTTTGTTGTGCCTATTAATTGATGTGTATAATTGGAACTGTACATATTATATTTATTTCACTTTTTGCAATATCTTTGTTCTATTGAAGCTTTAAAAAATGCGAATGCTCATTTAATGTGCTTTTTGTCAGTTTATCTTTAAAATATAATTCAGATATTTATTTTATAAATTTAATAGAGAAATGTGAATGGAAAGTGATAAAAAAATGTATAGTGTGTGTAAGTGATACAAAAATTTAATAATATTCTAATATAATTCAAACACAATTTACCACATTTTACTTTACTAATTACTCACTAATCGATTCCAATCACGACGGGCGACGATCTAACAATCTCAATTCGCGTAATTGCTTTACTTCTTACAGTTTATGCGATTCACAATCAGCTCACCCATTTTTTTCCTCATGTAGGGTGTGGTTTACATTGGTTAAAATTGAACAACGTATGTGCCTTGATATAGTATATAGGTATATAGTATATAGGTATATAGAAACATCATGACTGTGAAAAAACGAGTTAAACTGATAACAGACACGCAAAGAGTTTTTCTTCGACCGGTTTAATCGCGATTTCTGCCTCGCATCACTGACGAGAAGCCGGCAATATCATTGTTGAACAAGAGATGATACTGAGGGAAATATTATTGGAAAACCGTGTTTGCTCGTTTATACTCCGTCCTTCCTGAAATCAAGCTCGTTCAATCGTGTATCAGAAATCTAATTTCAACCGGCGCACCATTCCTCGTATCCATTTCGGACACGATATATGGTTTGCGGTTTCGATGGACGATCCGATCGTCATGAGTTATAGGACAACCACTGGCATTCGCGGTCCAGCGAATTAACGGTTTTGGCAATCGAATTGTCGCTTCGGAAAAATAGGATTAATTTCGCTTTAATACTCCTAGTACCTCTTTATACACTGCATAGCTATATACTGAAAAAAAAATTCACGAAATTTGAATAAATATTTGTTCAGATAGTACCAATGGGTATCATTTCTTATAGAAAATAAATATTACTTACTATTTACTGAAAGTAAATGGTACCATTGGTATTTAAACAAATATTTATTCAAATTTCGTGAATGTTTTTTCAGTATATAGCTATAATACACGAGAAAGAAAGAGAAAGAGATCCTCCAGAATTTTTCCATTATTATTGACATAATTTTATGGAAAATGTTTGATTGATTTTATTACATCAACAAACCAATAATTTTTCCAAGATTAAATTTTGTCGATAAAATTCCTTCTTGGTTAATATTGTTGTTATATTTTAATCTTCACCGTGTAAATGGGTGGTCACTTGTGTTTAGGCGATTTTTTAAATTATGAATATTTTTAAAACAAGTGAATACAGACGCGCCGCTCTGCTTTTAAAAAATTTGTGGGATGAGTGAAGGTGCTCGCGTGAAAGCTCGGCAATTTTCTCGCGAAAGGCGTCATTTTCTCGCTGAGCAACGCGTTTATTCAAAACGCGGACATAAATAACTTCCGTTTGCACGCAACGCATATTTATAACAAATAAGTAAAATGATTTTTTTTATTTCTTGATTATTTTTATAAGTAAAACACAACACACACACACACATATAATGGAAATGAATTTTTATTTGTGTTATATCTTAGAATAAAAATGCAAATTGATCTGCGGAAAAGGTGTTACGATTTCTTCGTTCTCTTATAATGTTAGTTATTCCGTATGTATTTTTTTATTTATAAAAGTGTGTGAGATCATATATTTTGAACAAAAAATGAATTTTTTAAAGTCAAGTGTCAATTTTTTATACGAACGCTTATTTTTGTAAGTAAGTTTCAAAATTGTAAGACTTCATGTTCCGAACTTAAGCATTTCAATTAAAAAAAATTTGTTGGCATTTTTTTATTAAAATATGTACCTTAACTTTATTTTCCATTTTTAATGATTAGATTTTATTAATTTGTTCACAAGTTACAAATTTTTAAACATATTACTATCCTACTCGCATTTTGATTTATATATTTGCAAAAATAAAATATTTAAACAAATACATTTGTAAAATTATGTATAAATCTTCCATCTATAATAGCTGAGAAAATTATATGAAATTTTTAATATTTTTTGAACCCTATAATCTATTAAAAAAACACGTTGAACATTAACGACCCTCGTGTACTTAATAGATACTAATAAAAACGTATACAATGAGGGTTAAAATTACGAAGCATACTTAAATAATTTAATGAAAGTTTATTGAATTAGAAGTTATGATTTTCTGTGCTTGAAGGCCACTTAGGTAATATAGTACTTATTAATTATAGGTTTATGTAAACCGACTAAGAGTACGGAGGACCTGAATTACGAGGATGATACTCCTTTCGATGAAGATAACGAGGAAGATGAAGACGAAGAGACTGACAATATCGGCACCGCCGAGATGCCTCCGCAAATCTTATCACGTGCAATGAGCGTTCGTGTAAAAGCTGGGGATACCGTTATACTACCTTGTCAAGTGGTCCATACAGGTTTGTAGAACAACATCCAGTCAGAAATGACAA